GAATCGTGACGATCATTGCAAATACATTACTCTTCGATAAAGATGCCTTATCAGCTCTCATTTTCCTTAATGCCTTGATTCGTTCATACCTTGCACGCCTCAACCTGGAAAGTTCACAGATTTCTCTAACTAACTTGATATCAGCTTCGTCGACCAACGATGGAGCACCAGGTGGCCGCGGTGGTTTAGTAGGCTTCTTCGAGCCCCTCTTTTGCTTTTTCTCCCCCGATATTTTCTTCTCCTTACTACCTTGCCCTGCCTGATCGATCACCTTGACAGCCTCACCTGAAATAAACGAACTCTTGCTTGGAATATTCAATCCTTCATCCCTCCAGGTTGATCCATCTCGACCTGCAACCTCATCCCAATCCATTTCTTCGTCAAGAACATGCTCCTTGATCTCATCTTCATCAGAGCTCGTTTTGTCGCCATTTTCCAAATCAACAACTAAATCACTTTCCCTTGAATCATCCATGTTAGCATGCCAGAATGTATTCAAATTTTTCATCCCATTTTCAGAAAGTATGATCAAAACCCAGAAATATGTTCAAATCAATGCATCAGATAAAACATTCTCTTTCCAGGAACAATCAACATTTGACAGAAATCCTATTCTCTACTTCATAGCTTATCTTAAACGGTGAAAAGGGTATTGAAATCTCATCGTTTTAGATTCAAGAAGACGATCCTTTCATTTGAATTCTTCCTTCCTGCAGCTACGAAATATTGTTTCATAAACATAATTCTACAAAAGCATGCCCTGACGTGAACCTGGCGCTCCCTTTTGCCCTGGTGAAAAACGTAAGGAAAAAAAAAAGATAGATTCAGGGGATCAAATTGATCATAGCTTCCAAGTATATGGAAGCATGCATAGGATTGAGAGCCCAAATCACGTTCGTTAACGTTTTGGAAGAATCCGAGGAGGGTTCTTTATTTTATTGGACAACTAAATGAGTGTGAATTACATATTATTTTCCAAAGGAAATGTTCATTTTTCTTGTATTCATCTCATCTCTCTCGGCAACCAAACGATTGGTACGTGCATTTTGGGAGCAGGAGAGAGAGAAAGAGGCCGGTAGAGACAAAAAATTTAGAGAGCCAAAAGATAACTAGGCTAAAAGAAGCAGTATTATTCTTAAGAAAAATAAAACAAAATTTGGGTACTAACCGAAATTTAGAACTTGTTACTGCAATATTATCATTTGATCTAGAGTTGATTATTGTCAGTAATACTCTTTAACCATTAATTCTAAAAGTTTTCGTTGTGCCTCGCTCGTTGTTCTTTACTTAAATTAATCACATTCGTGTCTTATGCTCATATTACTGTAATTAATGATGGTAGTGTTACGATTTTATCCATTTATATGCTGTATGAATGTGCAGGCTATAATGCCTTTGTACTGTAGAGAATCGTAGAGAATCGGTTCCGCTTAATCATATCTCAATGCAATTGGTAGTTCAGAAACTTGGTAGTATGGATCAAGATCACACATATACATCAAAATAAGGAACCCAAGCATATCATTTATGCTCAATGCATCATATCAACCAAATTTCACTACAATGAAACATAAGTATCCAAAAGAGGTAGGAGGATCAGTCAGTGTAAACCTCAACCTTGACACCCTGCGATTTCAGTTTTAGAGGTGCCCCATTTTTAGACAGAAAAGCAGCAGCTATATCATCCTGGATTCTTAACTCAACCTGCCTTCTTTAATTTCTTCGTATGTTTCACAATCAAATTAGTCATGCAAGGGAAAACTCTTGCATGCACGTATATCTGAAACCCTGGTATCGACAAAAATCAAATGAATCAAGCCGGACTGCTCGCATTGGACGAAATTAACTAAAACCTAACGATGCATGAACATCAGTTAAAACACAAGGCATAGGGGACAAGAGTACTATCACATAAATTATGGCCTTCGAGATACCATGATGGGCTTTTACTGATCCCAAAATACTACAGCAAAGCCCAAAAAAAATGCATTTTTATCGTTTTCTCTGACCCTTCACTGCCTCTTTCTTAGCTTGCTTCTGACTATCACATAACCAACCTTTTTTTTATTGATGTAAAATCTGTTACATTGACTGTAATCCTCTTTTATTTTACAAGAAAATGATGTTGGACTTTGATTAGGTTGGCTATAAGTGGCGGATATAAGGAGGCTGCTGCATGGAGAGAGAGAGAGCTTTTATCCTAAACCAAAAGAGAAAAAAGGGGTGGCCAAGACATGAAGCCTCTCAGCATAAGTTGAGGGTCAGTGTCGAAGACAGCAAGGATCCACGTGCGGGAAATGTCCCGATGGGACCCCAACAAATGCTAAAGGGCGTTGAGAGTTTGAGACCCTCGAGGGTCAAAAGTTTTTTGTCACAAGACAAGGGGTCATAAGTAAGGACATATGTGTGTGCCTAAGAGTGAGGCCACGAGTTTCATTTAGGGGGCAGCACAGCCATGAGCTACCACACCGCATGTGGGCAAACTGCCAACCCCTGCATTGTCCTCTTCCCCTCCCTTCTGTTCTTGTTGGGGGCCCTCGCCCCGATGGTGGTTGGACCTTTTGACAACTCAAAAGCGATTCCTTGTTTTGTCCTTTCCTGCTTCCCCTTGTTTTGTTCGTCTCTATCCATGATTAAGTCAAGGCTAAGCAAGGAATTTGGATGGAGCACATTGTGTTTAAAGCCTAATCCAAAGCCCAAATTGTCTTCTATGGATTATTAACCCTGCAAACAAATTAACAGAGACAGGCTGATTCTGGAGAATGAAGGGTGTGATCGGGAGCCCAATCCCTGGAGAGAACAATGCATGGAATAGCACTGGAATATACGGTGGTTGATCTCATCCAAAGGAAAAGAGCGCATCATCATTAGGTTGGCTTAACATGACAGCAGATGACACATGGCATAACCATGTCAAAATCAGGTACCACCAAGAAAGTGACATGTGGCATGCCACGCTGGATCACGTTTCATAACTTAACAGTTGGAAAACAAGTCTGATAATGAAATTTCTCTGGCCAGCTGACCACCCTGCCCCTTTGTTTCTTTCTTTGTTTGTTCGGACTGGATGGTCTATCATCTATTATCTATTATTGCATGTAAATTTGGCCAACATGTAATTTCCAATTTTGGGTTTTTCTTAACTTTTAAGATAGAAAAACAAAGAACAAAAATTCAAACATCAATTCCCGATTCAATGTTGGAATTCAATGTGGTAGAGAGGCCATTGGTGTGGGGGGTTTCAATTCTTGATATCAGATATGGGAACCAAGACCAAGATGTAAATAGCAAAGGTAAGCAAATAAATATGACATTAATTTGGTCATAAATTCTTGTCTAGTCTTTAAAAAGCTGGAACCAAAATCCGAACCATGACCAGCAGGATTCACTCAAAGGTAATATTCATTGCTTGCAAAAGAGTGGGGTCTTAATACTCCCATGCAAGTTAGGTCAGCATCATGTGCACCCACAAGCACAAGCAAAAGCGAAAGGAAAAACCCAAAGCTAACATCTATTGGAGAATTTGAAAACAAAGTTTATACAATTGGAGAAAACAAGTCTTTAGGGTTCCATTGACTGAGGTCAGGCTGCATCCCAATATCTGGTGAATAGAAAAAAAAAATAAAGAAAAATGACCTTAATAAAGGTAATGTTGGACAAATTCCTGATATCTCTTCCTTGCAGGGGGGGCGCATAGATAACTCTAACAAGGAAGGGACAGCATTTTCTTCTTGCAAGACTAGTAGTTTTCAATCCATGAAAATGCATGCAGTGCCCTGCCTCTGCCCAATTACCTAATTCAAACACTTTGTTTCTTTTCTTTTTTTTCCTTTTTCTTTTCTTCTTTTATTCCCTTGGCTTGGCCTGCCCAACTTACTCTTTTTTTGGGTTTAAATCTATGAAAAGATTAGGACACCTGACATAAAAGTTTATGCATGGTTTCCTACAATAAGAGTACCCTTTAGAGCAACTCATTGCTATAATTTCATGTGGACCAAATTATTCATAGGGAACCAGTTAATGGATTAGCTTTATAGATATAATAGTAAAAGAAAAATCCAACAAATTGTTAGAAACCAATTAACTCGTAACAGGACGAAACTTGAAGCAAAATCACAAAAACAGAATGAGATATGTAAACTCCGCTTCATCATTGAGAAAATATAAGGTCACGATTTAACTTTAATTTAGATTTTTATATAGAAAAGAGGTGGTGATTTTTCTAAATAATTGCGGCCGATTACTTGGGGGTAATGGGCAGAGGACACATGTATGCAAGAGAAAAAAGGAAGAAGCAAGATTGGGGCAGATGGTTGCATTCACATTGTTGGTTTAATGAAGGCACATGGATGCATGTGAAAATATGGTCAATTAGGCAAAGCATGAGGCAATGGAAAAGCATATATAAAAAAAAAAAAGAAAAGCAATGTGATTTGTTGGGAAGAAGAAGAAAAAATGTACACACAAAGGAACAATGCATGTGGTCCTAGTGATGGTTTTTTAAACTCCCCCCTACCCACAAAAGAGGCCAAAACCCTTCTTCTTGATAGGGATGCCACTTGGGCATTGCCCACATGTCTCAATCCCTACAGCAGACCAGCTTGGCCTTTGGTTCCATGTTGAGCGCACGTGTTTGCCCTTAAATGAGGAAAAAGAGATTCCAATGTGATATCATTTGCACCCTCCCCGTCCTCCATTGGTGGGGTTCCATTTTCTCTTCCTTCCACCCAATTCAAACCTTGTTTTAGGGCGATGTGGAAATGGTGAAACTGTTGAATTAAGAAAGGGCAATGACCATTTTCTGGGTTGCTTCTTCTTTGTTTTGTTTTTTTCCTTGCCATGGGAGGGGGCACATGCTAGCCATTAGAGGAGGGTGGGTCTAGAGTGGGTGCACCTGAAAATGTAGGGCCATGGAGGCACATGTGCTATGTGAACAAGGGGCTGCTTCATCAAGGGCACATGTACTGAGGGCTGTTTTGCTCATAAAAACCCCACTTGGCCTATGCTATGCAAGCACATATATATATATATATATATTGGCCATTTCCTACTTATTTAGGAGGGATTTATATCTCACAAACATCTCTCACATTTAAAGTTACATGTGACAATCTTTGTCCTAAATTGGTTATCAAAATCCACATTCTCCCTCACCCTTTTGCCGACACCGATTTGATTTTACCCTTCCAAATAATTAAATTAAATCAAATATTCTTTCCCTTCTTAAATGTTTGTTTCATTTTAATTTTCACAACAAAGATTAAATCAAAAATTTTAACTTTCAATTCTGTTACTCCACTTTGGTTTGCAAGTAAATAAATCCCAAATCTTATTGATTTGGTTGACATTAATATTTTTGTGAGTGTGACTATGTGACATAACTCCATGATGGGCTGTTAAAAGTTAATTAAATACATCTGATAGTGCAAATTATATTCAACATGGTATATGACATCATAAACACTTCTTTTTATTGACAACATTTTAAAAGAAAAAAAAAGGGAAAATTCAATTCTTTCATAAAACTTCAAACATACGCCATTCTTTGCCCAGTAATTTCTTAGATTATTCAATTTTTTTTTAATTCCACCTATCAATTTATTTCACGCAATATCTTATATATGTATATTTTTAAAAATATAAACGGTTAATTTCATTTTATAAAATTATTAAAATATCTTTAATTAAAAAATTAAATTATTTTTTATACAAATTGTTATATTTAGAAAATGAAATTTACCTTGAACTTAAAAATTTTGCGAGATTAAAAAGGAAGATAAGAATAAAGCAAGAAAAAAGCTTTAAAAATGGGATTATTCCACTGAAATCAAAACTTTAATCTAAATGGAATCAAGGACTAGCTGGCAGTGGCATGTTCGATTTGATTAATTAATTGATTGATTAACTGATAATATTTAATTAATTGATGCTTAACAAACCCAAAAAAGCCTAAGAAATTTTTTAAAAAAAAAAAGAAAAAAAAGAGCAAGTGGAGCTCAAAAGAAGAAAAAGTCATGTATACAATAAAATACACGAATTTAAAAATCTCACTAAAAAACAAAATAATAATAAACACCTTGTCGCGATTTTTTTTACGAGTTGATATGAGAGCCAAGCCGATCAGTAGGCGGCTGCGTTCCACCGCCGGCGAGAAGCGCGGTAATAGTGGTCATGGCTCGAACTTGCATCTCTAAAGCCGCTATGTAATCACTAGTTTCTTCTAGGAGGTTTGAGAACGATACTTTCCGGCAACCGGGAACAAGCCGTCCCAGAACCTTCAACTTCCTCTCGACAGCGGGTAATTTTCTCTTCTCTCCGTTAATCTCCGGCTTCCTCAACCTCCTATTGGCCGTGACCTTCGCTCTCTTATGTTTCCTCATCGTCTTGGAGCCAACACCAAGCCGACTGGCGAGAATCGCTCTGCTCCAACGCGTTGTTCCCTTGGCCGATACCGCGAGAACTCTGTCCGCCGTTTCGCGAACTTCCTTTGCGGGAGCCGAAGAGGAGGTCCGACGAGAACGACGGAGAGCTTCGATGAGCTTGGAGGAGTAGATCTGCTGCTCCCTCTCGGTTCTCCATCGCTTGATTCTCTGGCTGCCTTGGTTCCTATCGAAAGGACCTGGCGTTTCGTCCGTTTTCCTCCGTTTCTTGCGTTTAAACTCCGGCGACGTGTCGGGGCTGTGTTCAAGGTTAGGTATCAAAGAAGCCATTGCAAAACTTAGCGAAAAATCGCAGAAAAAGGAGCAAAAGAGAGAGCAGAAGAGGACGAAAGAAAGAGAAGAGTATTGACGTTGATTGTTGGGGAAGAGGAAAGAAGGGGAGGGGCGGAGGTGGGAGGTGGGAGGTGGGAGGTGAGAGGTGAGAGTGAGAGGAGCAAGGAGAAGAGAGAGGAGAGGTGGACGACTTATAAAAGCGATTCACGGGAAACAACACGCGGCCATTCCTTAATCACATTTATTCCTTTTGGACTTAGCCTCCCTCCCAGGTTCTGTCTCTCTCTCTCTCTCTCTCTCTCCATCTTTTAATTTATTTTTAACTATTTTTCTTATTTCCTTTGTCGTAAAATGTTTATTTTTTAGTTTTAAATTTTGATGTATTTTTTATAAATATAAATATAAAAAATAAAAAAAATCATAAAAATTATCTTTTTATTTAAATTATTTTTATGTTACACTATTAAATAATTTCATCCCTTGTTACGCAAGCTAAGTTGGTGGCACAAATTACTGTGGCAATATACACATGGATTGATGCGAATGGTTGAATATATTTGTCACATTAGTCACGTGTATCATTTATGTCATTCAATTGTTGTTGAGCCAACTTGGGCACTGCATCACCACCCATGAGTTTGAGGAGCAATTAATCGAATAAAATCGATTTAATTAAATTGATATTTGATCTGTCTAGTTAATTAATATTTTTAATAAATTAACTGTTTGTACAATCTCAAATAAAATGAATAAAAAAAGCAAAGAAGATAACAACAAAAGAAATCTAGTAGAGATAAAAGAACCAAGACATTTGGAACAATTAGATTTGGGCAGCTAAGGGTTATTTGGCAATGATCATGTGACAAAGAGGGGTTCAAATGTAAATAAGAATTTTCTATTGGGTGTGTCAGGCCACCCACCCCAATGCCACCTTGGGGGGTTGAGGTTGGTTTCTCCAATTTCTAAATTATCCCACAAGAGTCAAAACTCTAATTCATTTATTCTCTAATCTGTTCAATTTGCCTCATCTTCTTTCATGGGGTTTAGAAGTTACATATATTTGTCGAATGAAATGGCCTGTCTGTCTGTAATTACGAGTGTTCGATGGGTTTGATATTTCTTTTTTGGATAAATTTTACCGACATTTTTTATAATTTCAACTTTCATGATCCGTTAATTGAATAATATTACGTTCATTTAGGTTTAAATTTTGAATTACTTGCTACTTATCTTTGTTGGTCTAAGAGGATTTGATGGCATTTGGCATTATTATGGAATTGAAATGTGGTACTTTCATTAACTCAATAATGGTGTTAGGAAATGCAGTGCTTTAGCTTACCTCAAATATTGATTTAACATTTAAATAACATTAAATTATCAATGATATAGCCTCCCCCCACCTTAAAATAGATAGGGATTGCATCAGCCATGAGGCCATTCCTTCTTCATTTATCGGATCATGCAGGTAGTGGACAACTTGTCCAAATTTTAAAACAATAATCAAACTTGGTCTCTCTAACTGTGATGGACTCAAATTTAGCTTTCATTCTCTATTGATCTCTTTAATTCTATTTCACTTTTGTGATTATACTTCCACAACAACCTTTTTACAATATTTGATTAAATTTAAGTTACAATTATAAAAAATAACAAAAAAATTTAAGAAAAGAGAAAGATTTAAGCAAAGCTTTGAAAGCAACCAACAGTAATCAAATCCATTCCAACAACACCCTCAATCAGAAAAAGGAGAAAATTTTTTTTGTTTATATTAATTAATCAATAGCCGATATCTTTAAGATAGCATGCTATTTCAATCATCTTAACTTGCTTCTAAAGATAATAATAATAATAATTAAAAAAAGGGGAAATCTAGAGAGTAATTAGTTCACCCAAAAATGGCTTAAAAGCAATTGTTATACTTGCAAACTAATAAATTATTAATTAAGACTTTTAGGATATATATTTGTTTGGTGTTTTTAATGTTTTGACACAATTTCTCATCTTTTAACCCAACAGTCAATGCACCCCTTTACCCACATTTTCAATTGTTTCTGGGGTTATTTTATTGTTTAGTTTGATTATGTGGGAAAGGTTTATTGAATAATAAAGCAAAGTGTTGCCTTCCACTTATTGGCTTTGGGGTGTGGGGCTAATGCAATTTGTTTTTATTCTCAGCAATGATTAGTGGGTAATGCAGAAAATAGACAAAAAATAAATAAGAAAAGAAAAGAGAGAAGAGCATGTGGTTGTTTTCATGGCACTTTCTCCTTTTTTTGGCCTTTGTTTTGTTGTTTTATGAAGGCTTTATTGGTCACCTTCCTTTGTGGGTTGTGGACAGGTTTCCTCCACATTGCCTGCTAACTCACAACAGTTTTTTAATCCCTTCTCTTACTTCCTATACATTGTTTTCCTTTCTTTTCTTGTTCCCATATCTGCCATTGTTGGTGAGCAAACAAATCTGATTACACATTTGGACTGCATTCCAAGACTTGGTGACAGAGCTATAGATCAGTATTTACAGGTTTCATTGCTAGAATGAAGTTGAAAACACCATGTTAACTAAACATCAACAAGAGATTTATGTTGGTTGAATATCAAATTTGACAAGATTATGCTGCAAGAGAGTGTTACGATAATATACTATAATCCTAGTACAAGTACAGCTTTAGGTCATACAAAAAATTAAGTAGTGTTTTAACAGAGCTTCCAATAATTTGATTATTTTCAATTGGTTGGAACTTGGAAAGAGAGAAAATCTTTAAAAGAATCAGATGAGCCCCATTACAATGTGACATGCCAGAGTGGGTCTGCCTCCTTGCGTGAGACAAGGCCTCAATGTCAAAAAGGAAAAGTCAATCCCAATTTTTATATCGCAACAGGTTGATACAGTACACATCATTTTAAATAAGCAAAAAAACATACATCAGTCTCCCTTTCTCAAGACTCTGTTCTTCAAGAAAAGCAACCAGAGGGCTTGTGGGGAAGCTGGTGATAATTCTCTTTCTTTTCAAAGAGATGCAACAAGTTCTTATTGCTTTACCACGTAAATCTGCAGTTGTTTAGAACCCAAAATTTTTTTAAAGTTATCTTGGACTGAAGATGAATTCTGCAGCAAGGATCTGGTAATACTTAAACTTTTCCAACAGGGTTGGCCAAAAAGAAAAATGAAGAAGAAATCCAACTTGGGTAGTTTTCTTGCTTTGTCTTAGATTTTCTTCTCTGGATCACAGATTATTCTGTTGGATAAGAACACAACAGAGCACTAGTAAGTTACATCTTATTGTCCCAATTTGTGTTGTTCACCTCTTTTCACAGAGAGTAATAGTATATACCAATAGGAACACAGAAAGTTGCTCTATGCTAATGAAACAAGACAATGCCTATGATTGACCAAATTATGATTCAAATTGAATTGTCCAAAATTGATTCTCACTTATCCTTTCTCTTTAACTACTTTTGTCACAGGGAAACCAATCAGGCTTCATCTGAGTGTCCTCCAGCAAATTAAAAACAATTTTTTCTCACAAGAATTTGATGGAAACTTGATAACAAAATCGAATAAATTAATGAAAACCCGTGATTCCGTGGGACAAAACAAAGGTTTTATTAACTTTGTTGCATTGCTCCCTAACATGGGTTTTCGAAATAAATATCATAAAATAGTTTTGCATGTTTGCTTTTGATGATGATTTATATGAATGCTTGAATTGGACGCACAAACCTTTCAGCTTTTGACTCCTTTGTTTTTGTTTATCACGGACGGAGATTTCTAAACTGTTGGGTCTTTGACCTCTGATTATCTGGTTGATCGGGCTTTGTACTTGAACCAACTAGTCGGTACTTGCAGGGGATGGGGTGAATATTAGTCGGTTTCAGTCCAATAACTCAACTGAAATCAATTCAATTCCGATCAAACCATTCAAAGTAAGTAATTTGTAAGGCATTGTTTTATCCCACAAAAGACTGTCTTGTAAATTGAAGACAGCATAGAACATTTTAATACTCAATCTCACTTTCATTTTTTTTAATGACATATAGTTAGGTATGATATTAACTATCACCGTTTACATTAACTTGTAAGAAATGTCTATTTTAAAAATACTAGACTTCACCAGGATTGGTGTGAACCCTTAAATATTTGTTACGCTCTCGTACATGGTCGCCGTGAGATTTACGTCTCTCCTCCGACGTGGCGACGGTAAGTCATTGGATCTCTCTTGTTTGAATTCATCCGAAATTATAAGTTAGATGAACCCAGTCACATTATACAGTGGCAGTTTGAAGTTTTCAACAGCTAACAGAGAAAAGTAAATGTTTCTGATAAGCATTAGATTTGGTGAAACGAATGCGGTTTACCCTGTCAAAGTTCAATAATAAAATTTGTGTGTGGAAAGGTTTATATTAGTCAAACAAATGTGATTCCTGTCACACTGATGTGATTAGAGCTTGATAAAGATTGTTTTAATCTAATTTAATAATAATCAGGATCATTATTATTCTGCCAGGTATATGTAACTGCTGGTTCATCATCCATCTTGCTCATCAGGAAACGAAAATGATACTGTTTCCATATTAATAATTGATCACACCGCCATGATTGTTGACCAATTAAATAACAGGTTTTGCACGAGTGCGTGCCATGCCTTGCTCACCAATCCATCCTCTTGTTTTGTTTAAACACAATGATGATCATGATCCATGATCATAACAACATCATGGAGTACTCCTAACTCTATTTGTAATATTATATGATCAAGCCTGCTAAATTGTATGGATTTGACAGGAACAAAATGATAATTGCAAATAAAAGTTAAGACATGGGGGCCTGGTAACAGTTGAAAACAACATGGTGGGTCTTGCACTTTTGAATCTATGTTTCTGAGACCTGGGTTTTTGTGTTGGAACATGGTGGAATATGTTTCTGATACAGACATGTTTAGTTTCCTTGAGTTTTCCTCATACCCCAGATTTGCTTTGGAAGTGTCTGATATGTAGTTGTGTTTACTCATCCACCTGAAAATGTCTTCAGAGGGATGTTTGTGGTCTCAGGGGACTCAGCGAGCAACCAGCTGCATGCTACTTGTTGAAGCTTTCGGCTTCACATCATATGCTAGTTTGATTTCGGCAGGCTTGGACTCTGGAACTTCCTCTTGG